CATTACAGTGTGTGTTCCTTGGTGTGTTACATTACAGTGTGTGTTGCTTGGTGTGTTACATTACAGTGTGTTGCTTGGTGTGTTACATTAGTGTGTGTTGCTTGGTGCTACATTACAGTGTGTTGCTTGGTATGTTACATTACAGTGTGTGTTCCTTGGTGTGTTACATTACAGTGTGTGTCGCTTGGTATGTTAAATTACAGTGTGTGGTGCTTGGTGTGTTACATTACTGTGTGTTGCTTGGTATGTTACATTACAGTGTGTGTTGCTTGGTGTGTTACATTACAGTGTGTGTTGCTTGGTATGTTAAATTACAGTGTGTTGCTTGGTATGTTACATTACTGTGTTGCTTGGTATGTTACATTACAGTGTGTGTTGCATGGTGTGTTACACTACAGTGTGTGTTGCTTGGTGTGTTACATTGCAGTGTGTGTTGCTTGGTATGTTACATTACAGTGTGTGTTGCATGGTGTGTTACATTACTGTGTTGCTTGGTATGTTACATTACAGTGTGTTGCTTGGTATGTTACATTACTGTGTTGCTTGGTATGTTACATTACAGTGTGTGTTGCATGGTGTGTTACACTACAGTGTGTGTTGCTTGGTGTGTTACATTGCAGTGTGTGTTGCTTGGTATGTTACACTACAGTGTGTGTTGCTTGGTATGTTACATTACAGTGTGTGTTGCTTGGTATGTTACATTACAGTGTGTGTTGCTTGGTATGTTACATTACAGTGTGTTGCTTGGTATGTTACACTACAGTGTGTGTTGCTTGGTATGTTACATTACAGTGTGTGTTGCTTGGTGTGTTACATTACTGTGTTGCTTGGTATATTACATTACAGTGTGTGTGTTGCCTGGTATGTTACATTACTGTGTGTTGCTTGGTATGTTACATTACAGTGTGTGTTGCTTGGTGTGTTACATTACAGCGTGTGTTGCTTGGTGTGTTACATTAGTGTGTGTTGCTTGGTGTGTTACATTACAGTGTGTGTTGCTTGGTGTGTTACATTAGTGTGTGTTGCTTGGTGTGTTACATTAGTGTGTGTTGCTTGGTGTGTTACATTACAGTGTGTGTTGCTTGGTGTGTTACATTACAGTGTGTGTTGCTTGGTGTGTTACATTACAGTGTGTGTTGCTTGGTGTGTTACATTACAGTGTGTGTTGCTTGGTGTGTTACATTACAGTGTGTGTTGCTTGGTGTGTTACATTAGTGTGTGTTGCTTGGTGTGTTACATTACAGTGTTGCTTGGTGTGTTACATTACAGTGTGTGTTGTTTTGTGTGTTACATTACAGTGTGTTGCTTGGTATGTTACATTACAGTGTGTGTTGCTTGGTGTGTTACATTACAGTGTGTGTTGCTTGGTGTGTTACACTACAGTGTGTTGCTTGGTATGTTACATTACAGTGTGTGTTGCCTGGTGTGTTACATTACAGTGTGTGTTGCTTGGTGTGTTACATTACAGTGTGTGTTGCTTGGTGTGTTACACTACAGTGTGTATTGCTTGGTATGTTACATTACAGTGTGTTGCTTGGTATGTTACATTACAGTGTGTTGCTTGGTATGTTACATTAGTGTGTGTTGCTTGGTATGTTACATTACAGTGTGTGTTGCCTGGTGTGTTACATTACAGTGTGTGTTGCTTGGTGTGTTACACTAGTGTGTATTGCTTGGTATGTTACATTACAGTGTGTTGCTTGGTATGTTACATTACAGTGTGTGTTGCTTGGTATGTTACATTACAGTGTGTGTTGCTTGGTGTGTTACATTACAGTGTGTTGCTTGGTATGTTACATTACAGTGTGTGTTGCTTGGTGTGTTACATTACAGTGTGTGTTGCTTGGTGTGTTACACTACAGTGTGTTGCTTGGTATGTTACATTACAGTGTGTGTTGCCTGGTGTGTTACATTACAGTGTGTGTTGCTTGGTGTGTTACATTACAGTGTGTGTTGCTTGGTGTGTTACACTACAGTGTGTATTGCTTGGTATGTTACATTACAGTGTGTTGCTTGGTATGTTACATTACAGTGTGTTGCTTGGTATGTTACATTAGTGTGTGTTGCTTGGTATGTTACATTACAGTGTGTTGCCTGGTGTGTTACATTACAGTGTGTTGCTTGGTGTGTTACACTACAGTGTGTATTGCTTGGTATGTTACATTACAGTGTGTTGCTTGGTATGTTACATTACAGTGTGTTGCTTGGTATGTTACATTAGTGTGTGTTGCTTGGTATGTTACATTACAGTGTGTGTTGCTTGGTATGTTACATTAGTGTGTGTTGCTTGGTATGTTACATTACAGTGTGTGTTGCTTGGTATGTTACATTACAGTGTGTGTTGCTTGGTGTGTTACATTACAGGGTGTGTTGCATGGTGTGTTACATTACAGTGTGTGTTGCTTGGTGTGTTACATTACATTGTGTGTTGCTTGGTATGTTACATTAGTGTGTGTTGCTTGGTATGTTACATTACAGTGTGTGTTGCCTGGTGTGTTACATTACAGTGTGTGTTGCTTGGTATGTTACATTACAGTGTGTGTTGCTTGGTGTGTTACATTAGTGTGTGTTGCCTGGTGTGTTACATTACAGTGTGTTGCTTGGTATGTTACATTACAGTGTGTTGCTTGGTATGTTACATTACAGTGTGTTGCTTGGTATGTTACATTAGTGTGTGTTGCTTGGTATGTTACATTACAGTGTGTGTTGCTTGGTATGTTACATTACAGTGTGTGTTGCTTGGTATGTTACATTACAGTGTGTTGCTTGGTATGTTACATTACAGTGTGTGTTGTTTGGTGTGTTACATTACAGTGTGTGTTGCTTGGTATGTTACATTACAGTGTGTGTTGCTTGGTATGTTACATTACAGTGTGTGTTGCTTGGTATGTTACATTACAGTGTGTGCTGCTTGGTATGTTACATTAGTGTGTGTTGCTTGGTGTTACATTACAGTGTGTGTTGCTTGGTATGTTACATTACAGTGTGTGTTACTTGGTGTCTTACATTACAGTGTGTGTTGCTTGGTATGTTACATTAGTGTGTGTTGCTTGGTGTTACATTACAGTGTGTGTTGCTTGGTATGTTACATTAGTGTGTGTTGCTTGGTGTTACATTACAGTGTGTGTTGCCTGGTGTGTTACATTACAGTGTGTGTTGCTTGGTATGTTACATTACAGTGTGTGTTGCTTGGTATGTTACATTACAGTGTGCGTTGCCTGGTGTGTTACATTACTGTGTGTTGCTTGGTATGTTACATTAGTGTGTGTTGCTTGGTATGTTACACTACAGTGTCTTGCTTGGTGTGTTACACTACAGTGTGTTGCTAGGTGTGTTACATTACAGTGTGTTGCTTGGTGTGTTAACAATAATGTTGCTTGGTGTGTTAACAATAGTGTTGCTTGGTGTGTTAACAATACAGTGTTGCTTGGTGTTAACAATAGTGTTGCTTGGTGTTAACAATAGTGTTGATTGGTGTGTTAACAATACGGTGTTGCTTGGTGTTAACAATACAGCGTTGCTTGGTGTTAACAATACAGCGTTGCTTGGTGTTAACAATACAGTGTTGCTTGGTGTTAACAATAGTGTTGTTTGGTGTTAACAATACAGTGTTGCTTGGTGTGTTAACAATACAGTGTTGCTTGGTGTGTTAACAATACAGTGTTGCTTGGTGTGTTAACAATAGTGTTGCTTGGTGTGTTAACAATAGTGTTGCTTGGTGTTAACAATACAGTGTTGCTTGGTGTGTTAACAAGACAGTGTTGCTTGGTGTTAACAATACAGTGAGTGTTGCTTGGTGTTAACAATACAGTGTCGCTTGGTGTTAAAAATACAGCGAGTGTTGCTGGGTGTTAACAATAGTGTTGCTTGGTGTTAACAATACAGTGTGTTGCTTGGTGTTAACAATACAGTGTTGCTTGGTGTTAACAATACAGTGTTGCTTGGTGTTAACAATACAGTTGCTTGGTGTTAATAATACAGTGAGTGTTGCTTGGTGTTAACAATACAGTGTTGCTTGGTGTTAACAATAGTGTTGCTTGGTGTTAACAATACAGTGAGTGTTGCTTGGTGTTAACAAGAGTGTTGCTTGGTGTTAACAATAGTGTTGCTTGGTGTTAATAGTGTTGCTTGGTGTTAACAATAGTGTTGCTTGGTGTTAACAATACAGTGTTGCTTGGTGTTAACAATACAGTTGCTTGGTGTTAACAATACAGTTGCTTGGTGTTAACAATACAGTGAGTGTTGCTTGGTGTTAACAATACAGTGTTGCTTGGTGTTAAACAATAGTGTTGCTTGGTGTTAACAATAGTGTTGCTTGGTGTTAACAATAGTGTTGCTTGGTGTTAACAATAGTGTTGCTTGGTGTTAACAATAGTGTTGCTTGGTGTTAACAATACAGTGAGTGTTGCTTGGTGTTAACAATAGTGCTGCTTGGTGTTAACAATACAGTGATGCTTGGTGTTAACAATACAGTGTTGCTTGGTGTTATAAAACAGTGTTGCTTGGTGTTAACAATACAGTGTTGCTTGGTGTTAACAATAGTGCTGCTTGGTGTTAACAATACAGTGAGTGTTGCTTGGTGTTAACAATAGTGTTGCTTGGTGTTAACAAGAGTGTTGCTTGGTGTTAACAATACAGTGTTGCTTGGTGTTAACAATACAGTGTTGTGTGCTCAAGACAGTAACATAGTATTGTTCTAGTTAACGTTACAGGTCACTGTCATATACATCATTATTTATACACAGGTAACACCTCGCTACCTTTCACATTAATCACTGGTAACTGAAGTTACTGTATCAGGCTACAATACACCTCAGAAAATCCTCTCTCACCATCAAAATATCTGTACTAAGACAAGAAAAATTTAGATAAAATGTACATTGTGAAGTTGTCCACAGCAGCAGCAGCACATCAGCTGTTCTGGTAGCCTGACTATCATGAATATGTAATTATATCAACACAAACATTAATACTGCTACTACTACACCCGTGATACATACTGTGTCCCGTGCTTGACCATGTCCGTGGTGTCAGAGGTAGTATATATATGAGAGAGAGAGAGTAGAGACGTCCATCCCCCGCTGAACACTCTCTCACACTGACACAACACCAACACTCAGGTGGTACGTCATCCAACACAACACTCAGGTGGTACGTCATCCAACACAACACCAACACTCAGGTGGTACGTCATCCAACACAACACTCAGGTGGTACGTCATCCAACACAACACTCAGGTGGTACGTCATCCAACACCAACACTCAGGTGGTACGTCATCCAACACAACACTCTGGTGGTACGTCATCCAACACAACACTCAGGTGGTACGTCATCCAACACAACACTCAGGTGGTACGTCATCCAACACAACACCAACACTCAGGTGGTACGTCATCCAACACAACACTCAGGTGGGACGTCATCCAACACAACACTCAGGTGGTACGTCATCCAACACAACACCAACACTCAGGTGGTACGTCATCCAACACAACACTCAGGTGGTACGTCATCCACACAACATCAGGACGTCATCCACACAACACTCAGGTGGACGTCATCCAACACAACACTCAGGTGGTACGTCATCCAACACAACACTCAGGTGGTACGTCATCCAACACAACACTCAGGTGGGACGTCATCCAACACAACACTCAGGTGGTACGTCATCCAACACAACACCAACACTCAGGTGGTACGTCATCCAACACAACACTCAGGTGGTACGTCATCCAACACAACACTCAGGGTTACGTCATCCAACACAACACTCAGGTGGTACGTCATCCAACACAACACTCAGGTGGTACGTCATCCAACACAACACTCAGGTGGTACGTCATCCAACACAACACTCAGGTGGTACGTCATCCAACACAACACTCAGGTGGTACGTCATCCAACACAACACCAACACTCAGGTGGTACGTCATCCAACACAACACCAACACTCAGGTGGTACGTCATCCAACACAACACCAACACTCAACTTTCATATTTAGAAGGAAGCGCTAAACCAACGGGGATCATACAGAGCCTAGGAAATGGGAGACGATCAGGTTCGAGCCAAGGAAGGGGAGAGCAGGTCCAGTTCCTTGTATCAAGAGCCCCTCTCAGCAGCATCAAGGCACCTCCATCACACAGTACCTACGTAGCACCCAACATTATTATCATGTTATTCATTACTTCACGTTTACCTTCACATAATTATATCTTAAATACAATATTTACATTCACTGACTATCCTCCCTCAGGTCCATCACGTCCACAGTCTTCAACCACACCAATAAGTCTGACTTTTTGGGGTTATCATAGGTAATTTACACATATGTTACTAGGTATGATAATGGTAAGTAAGTTTATTCAGGTATACACAAATACAGTAACAGAGATTATCATACATAGCAGTATATGTGTACAGAACCTAGGATAACCCAATAAAGTCAGTGACATGTTACTATGGTATTTGTACTTATGTATACATGTTACTATGTATAATAATTGTAATTATATATAAATGTTACTAGGTATGACAATTGTACTTATGTGTACGCATACCTAAATAAACTTACTTAGTTCTATCACATGAACACTTCCCCAGTGTTCTGTATCACCAGCAAGTGTTCTGTTATAGTTGTGTAATAAGAACACTTCTCCAGTGTTCTCTATCACCAGCAAGTGTTCTGTTATAGTTGTGTAATTAGAACACTTCTCCAGTGTTCTCTCTCCACCTAGCAAGTGTTATCTGTTAGAGTTGTGAGTAATTTAAGAACACCTCCCAGTGTTCTGCCAACAACCAGCAAGTGTTCTGTTATAGTTGTGTATAAGAACACTTCCCATGTTCATCAATCACCAGCAAGTGTTCTGTATAAATAGTTTGGTAATAAGAACACTTCCCAGTGTTCTCTCTCACAGCACCAGCAAGTGTTCTGTTATCGTTTTGTGTAAAAAGAACAACATTCCCCCAGTGTTTCTCTAAGCCCCAGCAAAGTGTTTCTGTTTATAGTTGTGCAAAAAGAACACTTTGGGCCAGTGTTCTCTATCTCCAGCAAAGTGTTCTGTTATAGGTTGAGTAATAAGAACACTTCCAGTGTTCTCTATCCCCAGCATGTGTTTCGGTTATAGTTTGGCAATATGAAACACTTCCCCCATTGTTCTCAATCACCCAGCAGAAGTGGTCTGTTATAGTTATGTAATAAGGAGAGCACTCTTTCCCCCAGTGTTCTCTATCACCACAAGTGTTCTGTTATAGTTCTGTAATAAAGCACTTCCCCAGTTGTTCTCTAAATCACCAGCAAGTGTTCTGTTAAGTTGTTAATACGAACACTTGCCCCAGTGTTCCTCCATCCCCAGCACGTGTTTCTGTTATATTATGTAATATAAGAACACTTTCCCAGTGTTCTCTACACCAGCAAGTGTTCTGTTATAGTGTATGTAATAAGAACACTTCCCCTGTGTTCTCTATCACCATCAAGTGTTCTGATAATAGTTATGTAATAAAACACTTCCGCCAGTGTTCTCTATCACCACTAGTGTTCGGTTATAGTTGTGGTAATAAAAAACTTGCCCATTTTCTCCATCACCAGCATTGTTCTGTATAGTTATGTAATAAGAACACTTCCCCAAGTGGTTCTCCTTTCTCCAGCAAGTGTTCCTGTTTATAGTTATGAAAAAGAACACTTCTCAGTTTCTCTATCACCCAGCAAGTGTTCTGTTAGAGGTTATGTAATAAACACTTCCCCAGTTTCTCTATCACCAGCAGGTATTCGTTATAGTTCAGTAATAAGAACTCTTCCACCCAGTATTCCTCTATCACCAGCAAGTGTTCGTAATAGTTCTGTAATAAGAACCCATCCCCATGTTCTCGATCTCCACAAGTATTCTGTTATATTAATGTAATAAGAACACTTTCCCCAGTGTTCTCCTATCACCAGCAAGTGTTCTGTATAGTTTATGTAAAAAGAACACGTTCCCCAGTGGTTCTCTGTCACAGCAGTGTTCTGTTTTAGTCAGTATAAGAACACTTCCCCAGTGTCTCCATCACGCAGCCAATTTCTGTTATAGTTATGTAATAAGAAACACTTCCCCAGTGTACTCTATCCCCAGCAATTGTTCTGTTTTATAGTTCGATACGAACACTTCCCCGGCATGTTCTCTATCACCACAGCGAAGTGTTCTGTTAATAGTCTATCTAATAAGAACCTTCCCAGTGTTCTCTATAACCTACAAGTGTTCTGGTTATAGTTTATGTAATAAGAACACTTCCCCAGTTGTTCTCGATCCCCAGCAAGTGTCTGTTATAGTTGTGTGTAGCAAGAACACTTCCCTCAGTGTTTCTCTAACACCAGCAAGTTCCTGTTATAGTTATTGTAATAAGAACACTTCCCATGTTTCAATATCACCAGCAAGTGTTCTGTTATATTATGTAATATAACACTTCCCCAGGGTTTCTCGATCACCACAAGTGTTCTGTTTATTGTTATTAATAAGAACACTTTCCCCAGTGTTCTCTATCACCAGCAAGTGTTCTGTTATAGTTATGTAATAAAACACCCTGGAGGTTTACCTGGAGTTATTCCGGGTTCAACGCCCCCGCGGCCCGGTCCATGACCAGGCTCCCGATGGATCAGGGCCTGGATTCAACTAGGCTTGTTAACTGCGGCCGCACCAGTTCCACGTACGAGCCACAGCCCGGCTATCCGGCCACTGACTTTAGTTATCTTCCAGCTCTCTCTTGAAGGCAGGCCAGGGGTTTATTTGGCAATTCCCCTAAATGCTTGTAAGTGGAGCTGTTGAACAATTTTGGCCCCGGACACTTATGGAGTTTTGCCCCTTAGTGGTAAACCACTGGCGCCCCCTAATTTTGTTGGGGCATTTTGCATCGCCTGCCCATCTTTTACGTTACGAGGAGTGATTTTCTGTGTGCAGAGATTAGGACAATTCCATCCAAAGATTTTCCTATGTGAGATTATGATATTCTCTCCCTCCGGCGTATCCAATCGGCGTACAATCAAGTGCTTCCAACGTTCCCAGTAGATAAGGGCGCTTGACAAACTTATACGTGCAGTAATGATCTCGGTACACTCTCTAGATCTGCGATTTTACCTTCTTTTGAATGGAGATGTTAATGTACAGCAGATTCCCAGCCTAAGTAAGTAAGTAAGTAGTTTATTCAGGTATACACAAATAATTTACAAAATAGAATTACCATCCATAGGACACATATTAGAGAAACCTAATAAACCCGAAACGTCAGACAGCGTACTTCTTTCCATTGGGTCCTTTTACCTTATTAATAATATAAAGGTTAAATATTTTCTTATTATTCGACAATGAAATAAATCAATTATCATACAAAAAAGACATCTACTACACGAGGTGTCATTAAAATTATCTACTTAACACGAGGGTCATTAAGACTAATCTAACAACGAAGGGTCCATTACATGAATAAGGGAACAATTTACACGTATGTTAGCTAAAAAATAGAAAATCATTCCCCTCCCTTTCGTAGCTACATTCATCAGACACCTTTTTGGCACTCTTCTTGAACTGGTTCATGCTATGACTGCTTTAACATGTGCGGGCAGTCTGTGTTTCCATTCCTTTATTCCGTACAATAAAAGTGTTTTTGAAGCCTGGCCAATGACTGAGGGTACTACAAAGTTGTGCTCTCTCCCCCTTGTGACTATGATTGGCTTTGGTTCCCAACCTTGACAAAATTGACAGCAAGATATTCTGGACATTGTTTGTGTGGAATTTTATAAACAGAATTAGCATCAGTTGTTTATTACTCCGTCTGTCTTCAACATTCAGCATATCCACTGCTGTAATTCATCCAGGCCTACAAGTTCTCTTGGTCCCACCCCAGTAGGAAATCTTACGATTTTTTGTTCTGGGTGTTGTGCAGTCTATCTTTCCCGTTTTTTTGTCAATGCAGATACCAAGAAGAGCAAGCGTAATTCCATAAGGCATTTGTATAAGGGCTAACATAGGTCCTGCGAGCCTCAGTAGTGTAACACTGGCTTGCAGACAGGCACTTCAGTCTGGCATTCGCTTTCTTACCTACCACGTTCCCTATCATCTCCTGACATGCATGGGTCAAAGGGGAAT